ATCTGCGGGCGTGTGGAAACCGACGATATACTTGGCTACGTTGGCGATGTCGGGTTGGCATCTAGATAGGAGGTCTGGTCGTGGTTTCCCGAACAGGTTCTTCATGCCCTGCGTAATGATCCAAGCTGATATGAGGGAAAGAGCTAGGCCTAGCCATCCCGTATGCAGCTCCCATAGCTTACGCTTCCAAATTAGAGATTTGGGGGTACCCTCAGGGACTGTAGGGCCTGGAACAAAGATGAGGACAACGATTAAGACGACGGCGACGGGTATGGCAGCGTTGCAGGTCAACAGGAGGGCAGAGGTTACGGTTTCATGGACAGTGAAGGGGAAACTGATGGTCAGTATATGTTAGCTATTTCCGATAATGTAGAGACCCTAGTATTAGTCAAAGGGATAGCACGTACGATATGTTGGGATCTTGCAAACTGAATGGTCTTTTGTTCGGGGTAACATTTCCTAATATTACGCCGATGATGCCGACAACCACGAGTATTAACCAGTCGAAGACGTAGGACCCGATGACGAGCATGCTAAGCTTGGACTTCTGGCTCTGTGGCCTCAGGGAGCCGTGTTCGGGCATCTTGCTATACGGATGGGCAAGTAGAGGGGAGATGGAATTTAGAGTTGGGACGGTGCGGTCGTCCTCGCCGGTCATATTTCAACAAGGTGTGTCGCGGTCGCCTTTTAGCTCGATGTAGCTCCAGGCTATCACGTACGTAGGCATCAAATGATGGCAAATGTACGGGGAAATGTTGAAAAAAAGGTTGCGTGAAAGAGGCGCGCCAAATTGGGGTCGGTCTTGGTGCCTAGTATTTTTTTTTACTACGATCGCAAATTGATCCCTCCTCACCTATTTTTCATCCCAAATCTGCTAATTCAAACACTCCAGCGTCTCGCCGCCCACGAATGCCAATGCTGATCGTCCTATGCCGCGCCTTCAAGGTGTGGAATTCGAGGAATATGAGACGGATCGGGCCCAATGAGGTAACAGGTCGCGTGGGTCTGGCGTCTTGGCTCGGCTTTCTTGGTGCTTTGCTGTAACCACGGTAAGGTTGAATGCCCCGTGGACGGGAAAGTACTACGGTACGTGGAATCGAATTGCCGCTGTCAAATAATGTCAAATAATAGCAACGTGGCTGTGGAGGCAAATAACAACGTCGTACGAAGATAGGGCTGGTGCTGTTATAACTTAGACGCCTCTTTGCTGCCTCAAGTCTTTGGCAAAGCCTTGTATGCAGTCAATTAAATCAAACAAACTAGAAAGGTGAAGAAAAGGAGATGTGTAACACCAAGTGGCCACATCGATTGGAATAAATGAATTGGTCTTATTTTATGTCTTATTCGCAGACCCCAGTTGTAAGATGCCAGATCGAATGGCCATAGGTAACGACAAGTGCACTAAAATCTCACAGTCCGGGGAGGCTATGCACAAAATTAATCACCTAGGTAATCGACCTTTAAGGGGCATAAAATTGTCTTATACTCGTCACTGAGGCGGGAACATGTCGTCCGCCTGTTAAAGAAATCATCTTGAACATAAATATATTGAATTGTGTTTAATCAAGTGCTGGAATATAGTAAGGACCGGCTACCTATTTCTAGGTACTTCGAGGCTTACCCAAAGGTTGCGTGCATAAAGTTACAGCAGGCACCGTACCTACAGGCTACCTTGCATGTACCTAAAGGGGCTACCTACCGTTGCTGATGTAATATGCTACACCTGAATATTTACACAGGCTGTCAGTTACCTCAGACAATCTGCTTCATAAGGTTTGTTACAAGTAAGCAATATTGACATTATATCGACCAATGAAGATTTCATTGATGAGAAACTGCTTATACGCCGTATTACCTATGCAAATCATCTCTGTTACAGTTGATACAATCTGGAGTCTGCAGTGTCAGTCCCCTGAAAAGTGACATTGTCTAGTGTTTCCATGAACGCCGTTGGGACACCAGCACTGCCACTCTTAGTATTCCTTGGCCTCTGTAAGATCGTGGCATCGACACCAGCAGATTTCAAGATTTACATAATACTACTTCTTTGTAGGTACTTATTAATTAAATCCTAATCTATTTTAGCAAATATCTGTGTTACCGTGGCTTGGGACAGATCCAAGCCAGCCAGTTGGTGCTGAGCCCAGGTATCTTATATCAATATGTGAATGATGTCATTGCCAGTCAAACTGCGGTTGATCGCATTTCTCTAGCAGAGATGGCCGTTCACCCTTTTTATAGGCCATTCAAGGTAAGCCTATCTTCTTTGTAAGCATACGCTTTGACTACATATGTGATATCCTAAGCAGAGTTGCAGGAACTACATACGTCTTAGTATCCTGCAGGTCCAATTCCGTGAGCACCCATGAGCGACAAGCTACATAATAATACTATGTATGTATGTACTCTCGAGATCTTCATCGAAATTGGAGTTGTGGTCCTACCGCGTGGTGATACGTATGTAGAGGGATCTCGTATTAGACAACTGCAAGACTGGCTTGGCAAGCCAGCAGACGACTCACCGCATCACCTGAATTGGACATTGGTCTAAATTACTAGCACCTACATACGCGGCATGCAGCTAGCCGGACACTACTTCCTAGTATCGTAGGAATTCGGTATTGTCAGATATGATATACTTTGAATATGCAGTTCAACACCAATTCCTTGGGCTCTAGCTCATTATAATTTTACTTCATTTCCTTTTTATCTTTTTATTTAAAAGAAGAAAAATGTGAAAGAAAAAGAAAAATGCATGTTGGTTGTGGAGTTTACAACGCGTAAGTTATCATCTCAGCACGTCGGGTTGGCATTGACTGGCCATTACGAAAGGACATTTTGATCCAATCTACGCTAGAAATATTATCTAGTTGTCCTGAAAAATTCTCTCACACATGTTTAATACAGAAATGGCGAGGGTAACGTCTTGCGGGCTTGTTTCGTGCAATGCAATTGGTCTAAGACCTTGTATATGGTTCGACTTGCACCATCGTGGCTGCAGGAGGTTTTTCGTGGATTCCCGCTCATGCATGGGATGAGTCTCGAAGTTCCACCTCGTTGGAACGATCCAGGACCGCCCACGCACAATTACCGGGTTCTCCTTGTGCTGTCGTCGCCTCGGGGCACAACTGGGAGCCGGGGTCCTGTCCCATCCGGACATGGACAGCCTTAAGTGGCCGGCCCCAGCCATGTAAATATTTGACAAGTGACCGGATCTCTCTTTGAAGTTTCCCTGCTGGTCTTCCAACATCACGTTCGTTGACCTCATTCGTTTATGTCGACTCCCTTCGTTCGCTTGATATCCCAGTCGCGATGCGGTCGTGTACCCTGAAGCCTCTCGTTGTAGCAACCCAATTTGCGATTAGCTTCGCCTCAACATTGCCATTGGGGCTCAGACAGTCTGAAGACGGACGATGCGGTCCTGACTTTGGGGACGCAGTATGTAGTGCTACGGAGTGCTGTTCCGCTGCTAGGTAGGCTCAGCCCTGAGTTAAGAGTGTTTGTTGTTGTTTCTCACCTTCCCCTACCAGCTACTGCGGTACTACAACAGACCACTGTCGCGCGCCAGACTGTCAGTTCGACTACGGGCCCGCTTGTGACGCAAACAAGTCTCCCACCGGTACTAACACCTCGACGTTGAACCGGTCGCCCTTGGGCAACATCGATGTCGGGGGCGAAGGGGTTTATGGCTGCGAGGTCGAGGGTGGCGTTGCTCTCACCTTTGATGATGGTCCTGCCGGGTATACAACCGAGCTCTTGGATCTCCTAGCGAGATACGATGCCAAAGCGACGTTCTTCGTTACTGGTATCAACAATGGCAAGGGCGAGATCGATGATACTAGCCTGGAGTGGCCCTCGATAATCCAGTTAGTGATTCCTTCTACTGTAAATTTAATTTGACCTCGATGCTTATCCTTACCATTTTAGACGCATGTACTCTGATGGCCACCAGATTGCTTCTCATACGTGGTCTCATGCCGACCTCAGCACCATTACTTCTGCCCGGCGGAGGGATGAGATGGTCAAGAACGAAATGGCCTTCCGCAACATCCTCGGCTTCATACCGACGTACATGCGGCCTCCATACAGCTCGTGCACAGAAGCCAGCGGCTGTCAAGACGACCTGGCCGCGCTGCAGTACCACGTCATCTACTTCGACCTGGACACCGACGACTATCAAAACGACTCGCCTGATCTGATCCAGAATGCAAAGAACAACTTCGATGATTTCTTTGAGGGAACGTCACCCGACACAGACAGTGCTCTGGTTATCGCGCACGACATCCACGAGCAGACCGTCCACAACTTGACCGAGTACATGCTTGAGGGCATCCAAAGCCGCGGTTACCGCACTGTCACTGTGGGCGAGTGTCTTGGAGACCCTGATACGAACTGGTACAGGCAGGTTGCGTAGGCGAAGGCTTAATATGCATTTTTATCACGAACACCGAGGATGACAGGAAAAATAACCAGGGTTAGGGGCTAGTTGGGTGCTAAAGTTTAATCAAATGTTCTATAAGGTCGATCTAGGAATTAGTATGCTTTGACATTGAGACATAAATAATTATAAAACCACCCTTATTTGACGCACATATCTCTAATATGTTTGCATGCATTGATTACTTCTAAGAGTAAGTCATAGTTCAATATTAACATCCACAATGCTAGATCTTGTCGTATTATCCGGTGCGAGAACACTGCATTGCTAGATATAAAGTCAAGGAATTCCCCATACAAGCGAGATTAGAACCGAGCAGGAAGGAATGTAATGAATGATCTGCGAGATACTTGTATAATATTTGACGTAGACTTAGGTAATTTTATCTGCATAGTTCCACGGAAGCTTGCAGACACCAGGCCTTTGTCTCAATGATTGCCATTTCGAGTTTGCGTTATCTTTAGCACAGGGGAGGTGTGATCCAGTTTCCTTACCTTTACCAGACAATTTATAGTCTTTCACACATAAGGCCAGAAAAATCGTGATCGACACTTACCAGTATGGCGGTATGACCGAGTGGTTATGGTGCTGCGTTTAGGAACTACCCAAATTCAAAATTTAGGTATGTATACTTTACCGCAGTGGAGCAATCCGCGTGGGTTCGAATCCCACTGCCGTCAATCTTTTTTTTATTTTTTTCTCTTCTTACCTTAAGAAGAAGCGAGCTCTAAACTTACCACAATAGTATAATCACACGATGCGCTTAGCAGGAACTGTATGCATGCACTATGGCTCGGTTACAATGTAATACATACGTCTGGCTTCTACTCGCCAAGACTGTAAATTGTATATATAGGTAGACAGATGATACAGGGCTAGGTGGAAGAAGGGCAGCTCTATGATGGTTTGCTCTTCTTGTCTCTCCGTTTGCCCATGTTTCGTACCCGAGGTACAACAACCCATTTGTTGGAATTGTGCTTCCTGCGTGTCTTGTAGCCACCTTTTGCCTGGTATTGGTCAGTATGTGAATGCCAGGGTTGGGCAGGAGAAGAAGAATATTTCGTACCGGTGTGCCCCAAGGACTAGTAGGGTGTCGATTACCCTTTGATTTGCCACGGCCACCACCGTGAGGATGATCCACTATAGGTTTCTGGTTAGCCTCATACCTTAGAAGTATTGAAGAATATCTGCTTTACCTTTGTTCATTGCCACACCACGCACTGTTGGTCTAATGTTTAACCATCGACTCCTACCAGCTTTACCAAGTTGTCGATAATGGTGGTGAGGATTACTTGAGACACCGACAGTTGCGCAAGCGTCCTTGCTGACTCTTCGAACCTCCCCACTTTGCAACCGGACAGTAACATATTTACCCGTCACAACCTTCACACCATCAGCTCTCACTTCTTCGTCCTTGCTCTCCACCACAGCAAAGGTGCCAGCACTTCGACAGAAGACAGCACCCCCCTTTGGGTGAGAGCCCACGTTGAACACAGGTGTTCCAACAGGGATGAGGTGTAGAGGTAGGCAATTTCCACGATGTGCTGTCTTGGCAGCGAGGATACCTGGGTCTATGACACCACCCATGCTGTCGAGAAGGTCTTGAGGAATACCAGACCGATAACTTTGGATTACATCTCCGGCCCTCATACCTTCGGCTGCTATGATGTATGTTTTATTGCCAGTTGTTTCCTCGCTGAGTAGTGCAATATGTGCGCTGCGATTCGGGTCGTATTCGATTCGTTCAACAACGTGAGGACCAGCATTCCAACGGTGGAAATCCACTGTTCTTATCCTTCGCTTCGCGCCTCCGCCACGATGCCGGACGGTGATTTTCCCGTTGTTATTACGGCCGCCCTTTGCCATGCCCTTCTTTGGGTAAGTTAATGGAAGAAAGGGTCTGCCTTTCCATAAGTGATCGTTGATGGGTCGCTTCAAGTGCCGGACACCGGGTGTTCTAGGCTTGTAAGTGCGCAGAATCACTGTTGACTCCTTTTCAGACTTGGGTATGGATGGTGTGTAGTCCCTGGCAGGCTTGGGAGGAGCCTTGTCAGCCTTGGGGACCGAGGGCACATGGTCGACCTTGGGGTCAGGGGGTGGAGCGGCCTCTCGAACTGTCGCATATCCTCGGAGGGGGAGACTCGACGAGCATTGGCAGCTGGACAGCACCCTCCGAGCTGAGAGGGAGAATATCCGCGGCTGTAACATCATGTCATTTCGTAACCAGCGGCGGCATGTGTATCAATTGGTCCTGTCTTTGCGGGAAGAGCTGCTTCAGCCTCGAGGGGTGAGGCTCAATTCAATTCAAAATTTAGAAATTGAAGCTATTCAGGAACTCAAGTTTTTCCGGAATCTGACAAGGGTCATGGAAGGGCATCCATCCATGCCCGTGTGGACCTTAGGTAATTAGATTAGAACCTAAGATCTACCGATAATTTGCCAGGGTCGGGTCGCAGGCCAGGGAGGCTGAGATTGGGCTGCTTAGTAAGGATGCGGCTGATTAAATATTTACGAGGATTTATGAGATGACGATTGGGTGGTTGAGCCACATCTTGTTACACCGCACGGGGTGACAGGGGTTGCGAACACGGAATCACGTCAGCGGATTGGATGAACAGAAGGGAATTCTCCGGGCCGTTGCGGCTACACCAATGGAAAGAGCGTTGCTTGGCCGTTGCCACTGTTGATTCCTGCAAGCTGGGAGCTTGCTGTGGGGCGGTCACGTTTCCAAGGAAGAAAAAAAAAGAGTAAAGTGCGGGACTGCAACAACTGGCCAGTGGGTTTTGTACTGTCGTACCGTGCAGTGGATTTTTCAGATCGCGTCTGGCGAGTCAAGTACCTACCTAATTCTTTACTTCATTCTTTACATACATACATCTACCACAACCAACCTCCCACTCGCCAAAACACACACTCTCTCTCCATCTTTCCACCGTCAAATCCAATTGCCATTGGACTCTTGACTAAACTTCCTCCCTTCTTTGAAACCTTTCTTCATTCAAACACTAGTCTTGATTTTAAGAGCAATAGCTCTTCAATATCAATCCTATCCTAATCATTGACTCAGGCGGTTTCGAGCGGAGCTACCTACAAATAAGGTACATACCTAATTATTATATAACAAATCGCGTACAAGGGGGGGTCTCTGATCCTGCACTTTTGTACCCGTTCCAGCGTATCAAGGACCTGTAACCCAGAGAAACAACAGGTTCTACAGGGGTCGATTACCTGAGTAGGTACCTCGATACGCCCTAAATCGCGCTAAGAACCGTGTGCTGCTACGGGCAAACACATCCCTCACTTCAAGGTATGGTACAATTCTTCTACATTACCTATTCTCCACCGACGCTTTTGCTTTCAAAACCCCCATTACCAAAAACCAAACATTACCTGAGCTACACTCCTCGAAAACATTCTGCACATCAACAACAACAACCTACCTCCTCCTCCTCCTCCTCCTCACCATCACATCAATTCTCCTTTACTCTTCTTCCTTTCTCTCAATCCTTAATACCCTTTACTTCTAATTAATACACTACACCACACACCAACGTCTTCCACAAGAATCGCGTCTTTGCTACGAAGATCCCATACATCATAGCATCTGCTTTAGGACGGAACAGTAAACCAATGCTTAAGGAAGCTTGTTGACATATTCCTCTCGCTCTAGCCTTGCCTTCGTCTAAGCAGCTTTTGGTACGTTATTTTCTATTATCATCCGAACTACATTGTGTCACCCGTCTGCAACGTTTTTCTCCAACGCCACGCGTGTTTGGCGGGTAACTTTCGCGGCAGCCCCCCATTTTATAAGCTCAACGACATAGCGCATATTCAAAGCTATAGCTAATATTCTTCTAGAAACAATCCTTCAAGTCTTAATTGCTGCTTTCAAAAGCACACAATCAACCAACAACATGCCTCCCGTAAGTTCAATTGCTCTTTTACCCGCTCCGCAATGGTATTGTACAGCCTACAACATGCTCTTATATATATGTCTCGGTCTACACCGCGTCAATCAATGTCGACTAATTGGATATCTCTAGGGACGCCCCGCTGGACGACGCGTTGTTACCAACGAGAATGACGAGAATTCGACGCGTATGACGCGTGCAAAGGCTGCAGCACTTGATGTCGATGTTACATCTCAACCCTCGAAGCAGCCCCTTCAGTCCAAGAAGTCGGCAGTCAATGTCAACCCTGCCGCTCAACGAAAGCGTGCCGCCCTAGGTGATGTCAGCAACGTCGGAAAGGGTGAGGTTGCTGAGGGCAAGAAGCCTCTTGGTGGAGGCAAAGTCGGCCTAGTCTCCAAGGCCGCACAGCCTACGGGCGTTCAGAAGAGCAATGCTCGCGCTACTTCAACCCGATCTGCCCTTACTACCAAGGAGACTAAGAAGACGGAGGTCAAGCGTGCAGGCTCCGGCTCCGGTGTCATGGGACCATCCCACAAGCGAAAGGTGACTTCCACAACTATCAAGCAAGATGTTCCTTCGGAGGACGAGCCGGTCCGCAAGAAGGCCCACACTCTCGACGGTGATTCCAAGAAGCATGATCCAGTCGATTCCCAATCTAACAAATTGCGTGCTATTGATGAGAAGCCCGCCTACAAGGAGGAGGAGCCTCTTCAGCAAGCGGTTGGATTCGTGCTACCGAAGGGCGTTAAGGATCTTGAGGAGGAGGGTCTAGATGATCCTCTGATGGTTGCAGAGTATGCTCACGAGATCTTCGATTATCTCAACGACATTGAGCCTAAGTCGATCCCCAACCCCAACTACATGGCAGCTCAGGATGAGTTGGAGTGGAAGACGCGCAGTATTCTGGTTGACTGGATGATCGAGGTTCACACACGATTCCATCTTCTCCCTGAGACCTTGTTCCTTGCGATCAACATCATTGATCGCTTCTTGTCTCAGAAGGTTGTGCAGCTCGATCGTGTCCAGCTTGTAGGCATTACTGCTATGTTCGTCGCAGCAAAGTACGAGGAGGTCCTTTCGCCCCACGTCAGCAACTACCGACATGTTGCAGACGACGGCTTTAGCGACGCCGAGATTCTTAGCGCGGAACGCTTCATCCTCGAGACACTCAACTATGATCTCAGCTACCCCAACCCCATGAACTTTCTTCGACGAATCTCCAAGGCGGACGACTATGACATCCAGACTCGGACGATTGGGAAGTTTTTGATGGAAATTAGCATCGTCGACTATCGTTTCATGGCCTATCGACCCAGCCATGTCGCTGCTGCAGCTATGTACTTGGCACGAATGATCCTGGACCGAGGCGAATGGGACCCGACTATTGCCTTCTATGCCGGATACACCGAAGAGGAGATCGAGCCGGTGTTTGAGCTGATGGTCGACTATCTTGCTCGCCCCATCTGTCACGAGGCCTTCTACAAGAAGTATGCTAGTAAGAAGTTCATGAAGGGTATGTCATCTCCAACATTTCTACATTTGGCACCTACTAACAAATACATAGCCTCACTCATCACGCGTCAGTGGGCCAAGAAGAACGCCCCCATCTTCGGTATCACGGATACGAAGATGTCAGTCGACGATCTCTCCATGCTGGAGTAGACCGGGACATGCGTTCCGTCATATTCACACTTTCCCCCAACATACCATAATGATATTCCTACGTTCAGGGCCTTCAGTGTCAGGATACCCAAGGTCTCATTGGATGG